TTAAAATTAAAGTTTTAATCACCCTTTTGCTGTTTATTTCAAAAAAATTTTTTTTAAGTTCTGAAACTTGTAGTTAAAACTTGTAGTTTCCTTCCTTCTTTTGCGAGGAAAACTCACCTGGTGCTGTAAAACTTGTCGATTCAAAGGTTCTTAATAGCTGAAAAGCAGTTAATAATCAGTTTCCAAAAGTGATTAGGAAAGGAAGTATGTGAACTTAAGTGTCCTTTCAAAGGCGCCAACTGCAGTTTGAGCAAGATGGTTATTCCCTCATCTCCCAGAGTTCTAAACCTGCCAGAGACCTCTGGCTTGCAGTCTCCTTGGGAGAAGCAGTTGTCTGGAGCACTTGTGGGCAATCTCAAGTCCTCTCCTTGTCCAGAGAAGAATTATGAAGAGCCAGTCTACTCACCGGCTCTTCATTCCGCCCTGTTGTTTGCTCCACGTTTTGCAGAACTGTCTTCGGTCCACCATTTCTTCCCCAGAAGACCCAGGTTGCTTACTCTCAACTAGTACATCAGTAAGTCCAGGCAGTAATTCAGAACAGACCAGTGTTTCTCAACCTTGACAACTTTAAGATGTATGGACTTGAATTCCCAGAAGTCTCCAGCCAAGGTTGAAATCCACATACCTTAAAGTTGCTACAGTCGAGAAAACTGGAATAGATTACTCAAAATACAATGAAAAGTCAAATATAAAGCTACTGAATGTATCTTTATCACTCACACCCCAAACCAATGAAGTGATTTCATGAAGACATTCAAAAGCACAGAACACAATTTACACATTGTAGGACTCTGTGATCATAGGCCAATTTTACCAGTTACTAGCACTATATTTCTGAAACCTAATTTCTCCACAAGGGTAGACCGAAGCTGCTGAAGCTGTCCTCTCCACCCAGCAAGGTAACCAAAAAGTTATATGGTATTGAAAGGTGTTGACCAAGTAACAGGGGCACATGTATCTTCTCTAATTTCTGCTGTTGCTTAGGCAACCAAAGTATATGCCAATCTAAAACCTGGTCTAAACCCAAATCATAATGGTTACCAATAATCAGTTTCATTCAGGAATTACAAACTGCTGACATTTTTAGGCTGGATGGAAGACAATGCCCATATTTGCTAATATGAGTTAGCAAATCTACCTTTAGCTGTTTTTATGAGCCAGGAGGAGGAAGGCTCAAGAAGACATACAGGTTATCTCACTAGGCATCATTGTAGCCATATCCTCAGGGTGCATAAGCTAGAAATAATTCATAATCACAAGATTTTATGTTAACTCTCTAAACTGGAATGAATATCAGCATTGTGATCTTACAAACTGATCAGTCAGCTACCAAAGTATTTTTTAGTTTCTAGAGATAATTGATTTAAAAGCTCACTATATGGATACACTGATAGAAAGGTTTACTTGCCATCATCATTGTGGTATCTCCAAAATAAACTCGAACTTGTGTGCTATTGAATTAATCACGGGCTTTATATGTTGTCACACCAGATATTTATCCTGCTATTTTATGGCCAGTAAGTCCCCAGAGAACTGCCTCAGCTCTGCAGGTTGACAGAGGGCACTTGGAACAATTATATTAATAGTCCAGGTCACTGCCCATCTCAACGATTGACCAAAGCCTCAACATCAAAAACGTTTAAACATATTTATTTAATACTAAGAGTAGAATATCCTAAGACATAAAGATTAATTCATGATTAATTCAATTAATTCATTTCATAAATAGGCCTCGAGTGGGTAATCAGCTACAAAGTAGAGTAACTAAATTTACTGTGTGCTCCTAGCCTAAATTATTTGAATAAGTGTATATAGACTAGAAAAGTTTGAGGAAGTTGCTTTGTAAGAATATTGAAAGATGACAGTATGATTTATAACACACCCACACCTTTTTTTTTTTTGCTCATAGATACCCCCCCCCCAATTACTCTCTTTTCAGTGTAAGTCATTTTTCTATCTGTAATCCTGTCCATAACTATCCATCTGTCCATAACTATCTCATTGAACTCAGTGGAACATGCATAGGAGTCTTTAGAACAGATATGAAACATACTGTGTCAATTCACCGTCTTCTTGGGAACTAGAACAGAACACAGGATTATAGGTTTCTGTAAGAAAAGAGGATAAACATTCCCAGCTGAATATTAACTATTTTTACAACTTGTAGATCTTACAACAGCAACTGGAATCATTTCAAACTCTTCGACAGCAAACTTTAGAGAATGTAAACATGGTAAGAGTGCTCCATAGATACTCATGAAATAAGGAGGGAACATGTGATAATAATTCTGAAGTTAATTCCTCTCTTAAGCATGGGGAGAGGGGAATCATAGGATTCCTCACTTTGTGATAAATGTCTCCATAATGGATTGCCACGAAAGGTTACTCTGAGAGGAAAAGACAAATATGCCCCTCAATGCCCCTATCATTGATACCTGCTGTCACTGAAAGGTGACACTGAAAAGATCTGGAATAAAGACCACTTTCCTTTTTGTTTTCTTATATTAAATACATTGGTGAATCAAGACCAGTTTCTACGTATTTCCATTCTACTGCATCAGATCAGTCAATCAGATTCCTATATATAAAGCCCACAAGCAGATCATGAGCATAATTGGTTACAGCTTTCTCTAGATTATGTTGTGTTCTCAAAACTCTTCTAATACACATCTGGAAGTGGACTGGCCATTTCTAAATAGCGAGTAACCCACAAACTATTAGCCTGAACCAGATGGCAAAAGGAAATAGAATTCAAAACAAGGGCAATGTAAAGTATTTGAAAGAGGGGCCTGGCAAAGTCTCTTAGGGCAAAAAAAGCCCTCCTCCTCAAAGCATTAAAGTTATCACATCACCCAGGAAGAACAGAGCAGCTGCTTCAAAGGCTTTTCCCCAGCAGTTTGTACGTGTGTATGTGCAGTTACTGGTGGTCCCAGCAGAGCTGTTCTCTGTTCCCTATTTCCAACACTTTGCACTCTTATCAAGTGTGGTTACTACACTAGCAAAGCTAGAAAAAGTGTGGTTTTATTTAGGAAGAGTTTTATATGTTTGGTGTGTGTATCAAACTTTATTGTCAAATGTAACAGGTTGTACACAGAATATATTATTTGTATAGTCAGAAATATCATTACAATCTATCCAACAGTGCACCAGATAAATTCTGCAAAGGATGAAGTCTCTCTGAATTCAGTAGGACTTACTTTTCAGTTGGCAAAGTTACAGATAAAAATGCCTATCAGAATGGCTTACAATCATTATTCAAATAGTAAGAGGAATTCAGGACAGTTTAATGATTCATTTGTGTTTATTCAGGTTCAAACTGAAATCAATGAGATACTTAATAAAAATGTAACTGATATGAAAAGTCCCGACAATTTACTTTTTCCCACCACATCTGTCAACATTACTACGGTATGCTTATTTTTTTTCTTACTAGCAAATACTTTGTGTATTAAAAGTTTTGTACTGTTGTTTGGGGGGAATTAAGAACCAAAATATATTTTTTCCAATCCCCTGGGATCATTCATCCATCACATTTAACTCAGACATGCATTATGTAGTATGTAGTTCTGTATACTACATTGTAGTATAAGGTTTTGAATTCTCCTGAACAATCCAATGCTTTTTCACGGGACTGTGTCTCGGGTACCTTATCTTGTTTGAATACCAACCTGATCTCATATTCCCAACTATAATAATGCTTGAGCAGTGCATGAAGAGCAGATAGTTTCTGGTTTACTAATAATTTGTGTGTGTGTGTGTGTGTGTGTATATAAACAAATTAGTCTTCTGCTGTACAGTATGGTTGTGGCAGTCTAATAATTACAAAGGCTGATATCTTGTTCATTATTTTTGCAGTTAATTTGTCCCTTTAAATCACTGTGTATTAATACAATAAGCCCTGAAAATAATATGAAACCACTTGCTACTATAACAGGTGCTATCACCTGATATCTTCCAGGAATATTGGTAGCCCCTAGCCAGCATTATCCATCTAGAGGGTGCTAGGTCAAAGAAAGAAATGCTGTTGTTTTGTTAAATCTCAGCAGGTATTAATGTGGATGAGAAGTGAAGAAGAAATTTCCCGGGAAGCCATGTAAGCCACTTGCTTTAAAAGAAAGAGATGTATGCATATAATGTAAAAAAAAAAAAAAAAGGAAGAATTAAGCAAACTGAATGAAGACCATTTCTTCCAAGAAGAGTTAAACAAAATACTCTTTAATCATATTTTGTGATACAACTGTCACTGACTACATTGGGGGAAAAGACTGGCTGATTTAGTCTTTTCCCTGAAACCTCTCTCATCAGTTGGACATCAGGCAAAATTATCTAACAGTAAGAGTTGTTCACCAATGGAACAGCCTGCCTCAAAATAAATGATGGTTAACAAACTACAGTAGGTGGTTTCATACTCTGAACTTAAAAAACACATTATGGCTCAGTGTGATATGTAAACAAATCTCTCTACTGTCTAAGAAATGCTCAAGAAAATAGAAATGATAAATTCCCTGAATTACTGTTCATTTCTACTTATCATTTACAAAATCACCCAAAAGGTAGACAACACTTATTAAAAGAAATCTTACCTGTTCTTACCATTAAAAACACATGTATAACAGTAAGGCAAAGCAAGGGGAAATATTAGAAATTAAAAACCAGAGAAAAGCACCATAATTTAAAATAATTTAAACAATTATTAGCAAGTATAAGGAAAACTGTCAAAAGACAAATCACCCCCATATCTTTATGTATGTTTTGCAAGGGGAGAAAATCTTTGCCAGATTTTAAAAGCAGCTACTAACTTATGAGCAATGTTAAGCTATGTTTCTTAAGCAGTGAATAGTCTTCTGATATGCTACCTTTCCCTTTGTCTTAGCCAAGAGAACATCAAGAAGCTCTATATTTTAAGAAGGAGGTTCATCCTGATAAGAACCCTGATACCGGTCATTGTTCAGAAACCAAGTTCAGCTCTAAATTTCAAAACAGGATTCTAAGCAGAAACATTCCACAACAGATTCTGTTAAAATACAAAGCAGCTGGAATATCAGAAAACCATACCCAAGAATCTAGAAACAAAGCTATTCTTAATTTAAATAACGATAATGAGATTAAGAATTTTGCCAGCAGCACTTTCTCTCCATCATTTATTGGTTTGGACCCAGAAAAGAAGACACATCTTAGAGTGTTAAAAAATTATAGTGAACACAAAGCCTCCACAGCATTCCATAACTGTGAGGAAGAAGAGGAATGTTTATCAGAGAGTGTGAGTTCTTTCAAAGATTTGAAAGAGGAGGATAAAAAGACTACTAGACATGAACTGTTACATACCCTTGAACTTCAGAATTCTAACAATGTCTGTGGCAAAGACAATGATTCTGGTTATTTGTCAGAACAGGATTTTATGGAAAAAGTTGTGGATACGTCAAATGACGATTTTAAATTGAGGGTTTCAGAACTGGGGGGTTCAGTAGATGAGTTTCAAACTGTCACTGCCTCATCTTCAGAAAATTATCAAAGTACACTTCAAACAGCATTCAAGAACAAACATAAGAATAAAGAACATCTCATAAAAGGCAGTGCCACTGACAAATTGCAGTTAAATCTGTTATCCAAAGTGCTAAAAAAAAAAGAAACACAGCTGCTTAAGTCAAATCAAGAGTTCCAAAACTATGGGAATCTGGATTTCTCTGATATCAGTTGTATACCTGATAACCATGCTGAAAACCTTAAACTCTTACACATGCCATTGGGAGAGTCTGACCATGTTCAGAGAAAATGGATGATTCTCCATGAAGATATGAAGACTCAAATGAAACCTCTTACTGACATTATACAGTCTCTGACAGAACAAAATTCAAAATATCAGAATCAAATTAAGGAGTTGCACGACGAGAAGAATAACCTTCAAGGGAGATTAGTTAAATCAGATGAAGACTGCAAGGAATGTCTGAGAGAAGTGAAGAGATTACTGAAGAAATGCAAAGAACTTCAACAGCAAAAGGTAGCATTGGAAGAAAAGCAGGATCAGCTTTATGATCAAAATCAGCGAATAATGCGAGACATAAATGATTTTCAGAAGAAAGATCAAAAAGCCCAGGAAAGTTTGGCTTCTTTCTCAAAAGAAAAAAGTAATCTTATTGTAACTTTAGGGTCTTTGGAAAATAAACTTTCAGTATTTCAAGAAGAAAAAAAGATCTTGGGGGAAGAAATCTGCCACCTTAAAGAAAAAGAGAATTTGTTAGGAAAAGAGCTTGAAGAAAAACAGAACGAGATACAACAATTAAAAGAAAATGAGAAGACAGCAGTATCAGATATGGAAGCTCTTCTTAGGATGCTGCAGTCATTTAAAGAAGAAAAAGTGAATTTTGATAAAACATTGCATGAGGCACTCAGTTCTAAAAATGTCCTCGAGAAAGAACTCCAGGATGCCCAGTCAGACAGAGCTCATGTTGAGGAAAAACTTCTAACTGAACGTAAAAATGCAAAAATAGAAAGTGGAGTTTTGAAAACTACTTTATCCAATACTGAAAGAGAATGTGACCGACTGAGAACCATGGTAACTACCATTACAGAAGACAACTGGGTTCTCAAGAAGCAGCTGAATGAATTTAAACAGGAAACTTCTGAATGCAAGCATAAAATAAGACAACTGAGTGAAGTGCTCTTACTAAAGGAAAATGAAACGCGTTCTATAGAGAATGAAAGAGATGCACTGAGGTTTGAAACGCAGCGTCTTCAAAAGAACAATGCTAACCTCAAAGAGCAAGTTACTAATTTGGTCAATGAGCAATATAAGCAAGAGTGCAAATCTAGAAGCCAAAAGCAAAATGATTTCTCTGTGGATCCTACTCAAATTTGTGAAGAAATATCTAGGTACCAACGTATTTCTTTGATACGTGATTTACCAGGTATGTTTTGCTTCCTGATGTATATTAAAAAATATATTTTAAGTTAAAATTATTTTGGGTTTAATC